AAAAAAAAAAAAAAAAGCACCTGTGTTAACCAAGAATAAAAAGCAGGTAAGGAATGTTACAAAGAGGTCTTGCAGACAGTGTTTCTTTTATTTTAGAACAACTTAACCCTTATATATTTGGTAATCCATCTGAAAAGGAACTCAATTTATACTTACATTTTGCAGTTATTATGCAACCAGCCAGAGAAAATACCATACTGTCTTCTAGGATCTAAGAAATAAAACTAAGTTTAGATGTAGGAAATGTTAAGATGGTCTATGCTAGATCCTATTAAGATAATCCAGAGTATAACATTAGGGTCAACAAAAGGGGAAAATAAGTATATTATTTCTATACCCTGATTAATATGGAAATATAAAGGTAAAATAACCCAAACATTACATTGTCTTTTGAATGCAATAAACATTTAGTTGTTGGTAATGTTACGCTTTGACAAACTGGTTCAGTTCTATTTTTCTGGGTTGGTTTGGTGAATAGTAGAACAGAACTCAGCACTATCCTTGGGGCCTCATTCAATTTATGTACCAATATAGACCCAGAAAATAACTTCTGGCCACCAAGAATTGGATGTGCTGAATGAAGCAGAAGATTTCTATAGTGAATGGCTGTGGAAATGATTCCATCCCTGTCCTTTGCCTCATAACACCACAAATGCAGTGGAGTCCCAGTGACAATAGACAAACATTGCAAATAAGCCCAGCTGCCAAAACCGGTCACTGTGGAAATGACCAGGCAGGTCATTTGGAAACCAAGTGGCTTAGTCTAGAAAGGCTTATAAAAATCCTTCTCTTTTATGACCAGAGAACTAGCCTCAACATTTGTTTACCCAAATATTAAATAACATACAGCTGTCTCAAAGGGCTAAGTACTATAAAAGTAGACTGAATACTTGGTACTATTCATGGTGTCCAATAAAAGAAAAGCTACTGAATTCCAGGAGGGCATGCAGACTAAAGTAAATGAAAAGCACATGCTACACATGTGGATTACTTTTATTTGATAAATGGTTAACAATTACATCACCTGTTGGTCATTAAGGTTTCCCTGTACTAAGGAGTCAATGAAAATATGTTGACTGAAGCTCTTTTCTTTTCGTTCTTTTATGATTTTCTTTAAAATAGCTTCCAAATGTGTAAGTGCTTAAAGAAAAAAAAAAAATTTAGAACGTAAGCATTTGTGGAGATTACACTGTCTAAAAATAAACCTGCACAATGTTTCATGTGCAAAATAAAACCTTTAGAGATAATAACCAAAATTTTTTTCCCAGGGCTAGGGACTAAACCCAAGGCCTCACGTAAACAAGTACATACCACTGGACTACACTACTAGCCCAATAATCAACAGTTTTATTTTATTTTATTTTATTAGTTATTTTATGGTACCAGGGATTGAACTCAGGACCTTGTGCTTGCCAGGCAAGCACTTATTCTACTGAGCTATCTCCCCGGCCCTAATCAATAATTTTAAAATGCTAATTTCTACCTGAATGTATCTTTGTTTTCTTCCTAGTTTTTGTTACATTTAAAATATATAAGTCAGGCATGGTGGTACACTCCGAAAATCCCAGCTGGAGAATCACAGGTTTGGGCCTATTTGGGCAACTTAGTTACTTAGCAAGACTTGTCTCAAAAGAAAATGGTAAAAGTAAAAATTAAGGACTGGGGAGGTGGCTCACCATCTGACTTCATTTTCAGGCCTAAAACTTCATTGTCTGCCTCTTACATTCATTTGTTCTGTCAGCTAATGTTGATGGTTCTGTTTTCAAGTACAGGATTATTCTTTTAGTTGTTATTATTGTCTTTTATTTTATGCTGCCTTCCATCTGGCCCAAGTCATATTACCTCATTTGTGCATTTCAATGAACAGCCACCCAAGTCATCTCCCTGCTCCTGGTCTGCACCTCAGCAGTCTATCACAAAAGCCAGAGCAATCCTCTCAAAACATAACTGAGCCCACAACTGCTCAACAGCACTATGGCTCAGAGTAACAACCTAGTCACATGATGGTCTATAAGCAAATGCGGTACCTCTCCCCAGTCTTTTGACATCAGCCCCTTCTGCTCCTCTCATAATTCATGTTAGCCATACTATCATCTGACACAGCAGAAAGCATCCCCCCTTGAAGACTCTGCAACTACATTTCCTCTACATGAAATCTTCTTCCTTGAGACATCGAGGCATTCAAATGGCCTGCATGACTGGTTTCCTCATCTTTTACAACTATTCAAACAATATGATCTTGGCAAGGCCTGTGTGGAGGCCTATGCTGAGAACTACTTAAAATTGCACCCTCTTACCCAGCACTGTCCATCTCCATTCCAGTTCTACATTTCTCCTTAGCATTTCCTACCTTTCAACACCTCAGTTTACTTGTTTACACCATTGTCTCTTTCCACAACAGTGTGGCCACAAGGGCCAGAATTTTTACTTGTTTATTCACTGACATCTCTCCAGCACTTAAACAATTTTCTCCTAGGTATTTATAAAACTGAATTAATGTAACACAATGAGATATTATAAACAACAAAAAATGAAGAAGCTAAACTTTGCACCATATGAGAATCACCTAAGAAGCTTCCAGTAAAAAACAAGTCACACCTCACACCAGTTAGGTCTGAATGTGTAGAGGTAAAAGCTAGGCCTCAGTACTTTCAAAGTTTGAGCATGAAGCAAAGTTTGGGGATTACTGCTGTACATTCTTCATACAATAGAGTACAGTAGGATAACTTGGAAAGCTTGTCAAAGCTATATAATGAGCAGGGTTTAGAGTAAATTGGTCTAAGGTGGGGTCTCATTTTCAGCATTTTTTTAAAAAAACATTTACTTATTTATTCATTTATTTGGTCTAGGGTCTTGCTACACAGCTCAGACTTGTAGTGATCCTCCTGTCTCAGCCTCCGCAGCACTGGGATTACAGGTGTGCACCACCACACCGTTTCCGTGGCTAGCTTAGCACACCCAGGGTTCCAGGGCCAGCATGGTATACAGTACCAGGGATCAAACTTGGATCCTTATACTTGCCAGGCAGGCACTTAGACTGCCAAGCTATCTCCCCAGTCCCAGTCTTCAGCTTTTATGTCTCCCAGGTGATTCTAATGTACAGAGCAGGCTGTTTATTATTCATGTAAGCAAAGGAAACTGTGATGAAGCCATGGGATTGCATTGATAGATACCACAACCTGAGGCTTGGGATAGAGATCAGTGGTATAACACTTGTCCAGCATGCTCAAGGCTCTGGATCTGAGCCCAGCACTGCCAATGAGAAAACCCATTTTCAGTATAAGCTCAAATTATATCTTTGCTCATGTAATTCCCCAAGAACATATACTAGACAATTTACTTTTACTTAGACTCAAAAGGTATATACATTATTTTCATTTCACATGAATTTAACCAGTATTTCTAACACACTTTTTTTTTTTTTTTTTTGCATTTTAGGGCAGGGTCTACAGGGTATTCAGGGTCTCACTGTTGGATCAGACTCCTAGTGATCCACCTGTTTACAGCCTCTGAAGAGCTGGGATTACAGGCGCACACCACTTCACCCAGTCTCAATTCCTGGCCCTTGCACCTGCTTTTAGGCACTTTAATCCGCTGAGCTATTTGGCTAGACCTGACACACACATTTTTATCAAGGAAATTAATGTCAGTGTATCCATCAAGATGATCAGAATAGTATGAAAACAGAACAGCAGAAGCTATCAATTCAACTGGCTCTTTAAAACACTTGGGCTGGCAAGGTATCTTAGTGATCTAAACACAAGGAAGATAAACACCTTCCTGGGAAATACAAGGTCCTACGTTTGATCCCCAATACCTAAATAAATAAATACTTGTGTTGGACATCAAGAATTACTAGGATAGGCAGCTGCTGGGTCCAATCCCTGGGCATACTGTGCTGGCCCCACCCCCATGGTACAATGAGACAGTGACTGGGTGTGGTTGCACACGCACCTGTAATCCTAGCACTTGGGAGGCTGTAAACAGGAGAAACACTGCAAGTTCAATCTAGTAGTAAGACCCTGAACACCCTGTAGACCCTGCCCTAAAATACAGGAGAGAAAATAAGAATTACTAGGATAGGAAACTAGTAAGGATGAAGATTTTATTGTCTGTGCATAGAGTAGGGCTTAGACTCAGGGTGGCACTGCATGCCTTCAATCCCACCACTTGCAAGGCTTGAGGCAGGAGGATCACAAGTTCAAAGTCACTCTGGATCTCATAGTGAGTTTTGATTACCAGCTTGGACTACATGGCAAGACAGAAAGTCACAAATATTTGTTAAAAGAAAGAATTCTACGATGTAGTACTATTATACTGTACATGAAAATATTTCCCCCCCCTCTTTAAATGAAGGAGGGTCTCACTATGTTGCCCAGACTGGCCTTAAACATCCAGGCTCAAGCAACTCTACCTCAGCTTATGAAATAGCTAGGATTATGGATGTATGCCGCAGTACTCCATTAGCTTATTTTAATTTACCCTGTCTGCTACCAAAAAAAAAAAGGAATTGCAACAGGTCAGAATAAAAATGTTAAACATTAACAACCATTCACCCACTGACAGAAAATGCGGAAAAACAACTGTGTAAAAGGAAATAATGTAAAGGGACTATCTTAAACTAAAAGCACTATTTTTCTTTGTAAATTTTATAAAGTTGTGATTGATGCCCAACAACTTCAAAAACATTTTTACTTAACGTTATAATGGCAAAAATTTTCTTTAGTCTATATACTACTGAAGCAAGCAAGAATTTTTTATTCTTTGTCTTCTCTTTATAAGTATCTGTACAATATTTACAAGTATCTGTGCAATACTTAAAACATGCTGATATTATTTCTTTAATAATTCCTATAATGTGAGGCATTTGCTTTTCTACTTGCAGAAACAGTATTACAATAAATAATTTCATGAATATTTTCTTCTTTTAGACAATTCATTATTTGTGATTCAATATGTTTTGGAATTTTTATTGTTGGGGTTTTTTAAGGCAGGGTCTAAGTAGCCCAGGTTGGCCTGTGATCCTTCTGCCTCAGCCTCCAGAGTGCTGATTCTAGGCATGTACCACTATGCCCAGTTTCAAGCTGCTTTTTTTTGGATTGTATCCTTACACTTTCAATGACTCCTTTAAAGTGTACTAATTCCACAAGAGAAACAGAGGCTTTTTTACTAACATTTTTCTTTAACAAAAGGTTTGGAGAACATTTTTCCCCAGACCTTTTGTTAAAGAAGAAAAATGTTCACTGCAGTAAATGTGGGGAAGCGCATAAAATGAGAATTTATAAATGACTAATAATCTTTTCATCATAGATAACCCTACTAAAAGTGGAATACCTGCTTTTGTCCTTTAAAAAAAATAAGGGTGGCCAAACTTACCATCTTCATATTGCTTCTTCCGAGTTGCACTTTTATCAAGTGACCCATCTAGAAAGCCTTTTCCAATCTCAGACCAAACCTGAAAGTAGGAAAGTATACATCTTTATTATCTAATAGACTTTTTCGTATACAGATATACTATATCTAGTATACACACATTTCCTAAACAATACAGAACAAAGAAAGCTAAAAAGTACTTCCTTACCAATGTGTCTGATAATTAGGCTCTGCCTATTAACTGAGTGACTGATGGCTCACATTCATTCTTCCACAGTGAGTTCAAGGCAAGCCTTGTAGATATATAGATTTGAGACAAAAGCCTGATGTTCCAAGAGAGCAGGGAACAATAGACAGAGCCCAAGGAGAGTTGCCATCTGTTTGCAAATTCCCAGAAAGCTGGGACTCAAGGCTGCAGATAACAGCTTCTCTTGTAGGGGTCTTGTCCTTTGCTCTCTTGCTTGGGATGTTACCAGCTAGCATTTGTGTGAGCCTAGTGTTAGAGATATTAATTTGTATTCACATTCCTTACTCTACCTTTACCCCTCAATAAATGTGAGATGCTTCTGAGGCTCTGGGCTCACTTGGAGAGAGACTAATCTCAGTGAGATCTCTGAAGCTACATTCATCAGGTCTTCTTGTGTGTCTTTTAGCACCAACCCGTAACATACAACAGAGCCTGAACTGCATAGTGAAACTGTCTCAAAAACAACAACAAAATAAATTCAATGGTTAGATTCAATGTTGGCCTTATGGGGAAATTTGATTTGATTCTTGTCCAATTTGGTTTAGGAGCAGAATCATGGAAAAGATTAAGTTCATTAAAATATACAGGGGCCGGGGAGATGGCTCAGTGGAATAAGTGCTTGCCTGGCAAGCGCAAGGACCTGAGTTCAATCCCTGGTTCCACCAAAAATAAATAAATAAAATAAAATATACAGGTACCA